TTCTCTTTCTATCCCTTTCTCTCTGTTCGACCATCGCAGGCTCTCCTTTTCCTACTCTCCGCCGCTCTGTGTGCGCGGCGTCTCTCTCCCGCCGGCTGCGAGCGGTTTGTGTGTTTCGCCTCGCCTCTCTGTCCAGCTTCTTTCGCCTCTTCTTCTTCGTCTTCTTCTTCTGCTTCGTCTTCTTCTTCGTGTGATCCTCCGCTACCGTCTTCCTCGCTCTTCGCCGCCTCCTCGCCAACCCCTGCTCGGACCCATCCAGTCGGTTCCCTACTCGCGAACCTTTTCTCGCTACTTCGGCTCTCTCCGCGACGACTCCGCTTCGCCTTCGAGTTCCTCAAACAATGTCAACTCTCGCGTGTTACACCGGCGAGGCCCGCGACGATAATGCTACTGACTGCCACCATGCTCGCCGCCGCGATCCCGCGGACGCGCGATGCTGATTTAGGGGGACAGGGTTGATGGGGTGGCTCGGCTCGTATTTGAGGTTTGAGGTTTATGGATTCGGCGATGGGAATTGGAGGTGGGCATAACCCTTTGCGGACGAACGACGATTTTTGATCGAGATTTCCATAGGTGGAAAGTAAGTCGCAAACGAGTGATTCGATTACTCGAATAGCAAGAGTGTGTAATTTCCTTTCCTTTCATTATTTCAGCAATAATTTAACTTCGTCTGCTGGAGGTTTCGTATTTCGAAGAATCTTCGTCAAAGGGTTAAGAGATTTGGAGCTCGGAATATATTATCGCTTCGAAAGGAATTGGCAATGATCTCTAGGAAGCTACAAAATTGAATTCATGAATAATTGAAAAGCTTGAAGTTACTGGTACTTCACTATCAGCCAGGTTACTTCGAGATTAGAAGCAGGTATCAGCGTTTCGTAATTCAACTTCGTCTGCTGGAGGTTCCGTATTTCGAAGAATCTTCGTCAAAGGGTTAATCATAAAGATCTGGAGCTTGGAATGTATTACCGCTTCGAGAGGAATTATCGCCAATGATCTCTAGCGAGCCATAAAATTGAGTTCATGAATAATTGAAAAGCTTGAAGTCACTGGTACTTCAATATCAGCCAGGTTACTTCGAGATTAGATGTAGCTATCTCGCGAAGTTCCAAGTCAAAATTCACTAATATCCAGCGAGATCGATCATCCGAGCAACCGGTATCCGCAGCCCATTAAACTGTCAATAGAACCGGAGGAACGAGAAACCAATACCATCAGCGAGCGGCGTTCGCCTAACCAACCTAAATCCGAGATGCACCTGAAAAAGCTGTTAACCGAAATCGCCGGGCTGCTCCATTTCCCACGGTACCCGAGGCGACTCCGTTCCCGCGTGGAATCGCGGAAAAGCATCCCGGATGGGGAACACCCACGCTCGCACGAACGCCAGTCGATACACGATAATTGCGATAATCTGTTGCTCCCTTTGGGAGTCAACGATCGAAGCCGGCGCTCTCTCGCGCTCACGCGGAACAGGCGCTCGCGCTCGCACGCGCGTGCGAGTGTTCACCACTTATATATATATACATATATATATATATATCCAGCGGGCCCGATAGATAGAGAGGCCGGTGAAAAGGAACGGAGACACGGGGACGAACGGCGGCCACGCTCGTTCGCGTGGAAAGAATGGAAGAATTAGTTTTGGATCGGGCTTTCGATCGTGAGAGAGCAGACGGCGCAGTCGGCGCGAAACGGAAGCCTGACTCGTACACGGTAATCTCGGCGAGATACGCCAAACATTTTCTCTTAATTAAGAAAGGACGTGGCCGTAATTAAGTTTCCCTTCCACGTTGCCCCCTCGACGCTGCGCCTGCGAGGCTACGCGCGAGCCGGGATCCACGCTTCTTCCTCACGGCTCCCGTCAAAACACTGAATTCCGTTCGATAGGTCGCTCCTCTCGGCCCCTCGAAGGGGTCCGACGTGTCGGACACCGACGTGATCGCGTCTCCTGGGAAATTCATGCGAATCGGTTGACTCCCGAATTCTGCTTCTTTGTTTCCTCGTCGTTCCTGGAGGAATATAAATCGGTTATGGATCTAATTTGAAGTTCCATTGAGAATCGAGTAGGATGGATCGGCTGTAGCGTTGAATTAATTGTATACGCGACGTTAGGGGGGGAACAGGAACAGAAGTCGATCAGTTTCGTTCCTAGAAAGCAGGAACGCGAGCCGACATCCTCCAGCGACGCGCGGCTTTATCACCGTTTCTCGGAATCTATCGCGCAGCCCGGACACGCGATAACGCTTATCGTACGTAGCCACGTTAATTTAGCAATCAGACAGATAATATTACAATTCTGCCCGACGCGGCCTGGCTTGTAGACCTTGTACGCCTTATCAGGACCGGCCGATCGGCTTTCCGATACGGGAGGCTCTCACCTCGCGACACCGGCGACGATATACCGTGCGCCGTTTATCGTAGCCACGGCGACGCGTCCTGATGCTTTCTATCCGCGAGCACGCCGCGTTGATAGGAAGAAGGCGCCGCGGAGGAATGCGGGTCTAATTGGTCGGATCCGAGAGGAGCATGCTTCGCGTTCATTTTTGACAGTGATCCGATGTTCTTCTGTAGGATTACGTCGTAATTGAATCGCTATTCGTATCAACGTAATTAATGTAACTCTTATTTAATTACTACTCGGATACTTATCTGAAGTCGATAAACTTAACCCTTCAAGGACGAATGCTGAAATTTCTGTATTCGCGAGAGTGACTTGAATGATTTAATTACTCGAGTAGCAAGAGGTCGATAGGTAGATTCCTATTTTATATTTAATTAAATAATCAAGTGATAATTCAGCTTTTGTTTATTTCTAAGAATCTTCGTCCGCAAAGCGTTAAAAAATTCCAGACGAATGATTTAATTACTAGAATATTAAGAGATCAGTATGTAGCTTCCCTTTTTCAAATTTAATGAAGCAGTCAGTTGATAATTCAAGTTGATAAAAAATATGGTCACGGTTGATATACGTTACAAAGCAGTGAAAACATAAAGAAACAATATCAAAATATATAAAAATGACCAAAAACTTGAATATTACTTATTATTTTACTGAAAAACTCAGTATAGTTCATAAGCAAACTGAAGTTTCCATAGCACGGAATGTTTTGACCGAATACTCATACAAAATCCGACGTTGAACGCTGAATGTAACGATTCCGTTGCACCAAACGGAACGGTAGCGAGTCGACTCGCTACGAAGGGCTGAGTTACTGGCAATACGAAGATCCGGATATCCGGACAGGATCAAGACAGCAACAGCCCTGCAAAACGGCCGGCGATACGCATCTCTTTTCCCAGGTGCCAACTTTCCATCAGACGCAGAGGAGCGAGCGTGCTTGCGTGCCGGGCTGACACGCGGTGATCGACAGTCTGGAAAGTTCGATGATTCCTTGTCGGCCTGCGCGGATTGCATTCCGCGGATAGGACGGGCCAGGAGCGTTCGAGCCGGCACGCTCGCCGGCGTATGTCGCGCGGTTCCCCCGAGCCCCGAGCGGAACGCGCGCGCGATCCGCCGATTTTTCGAGCCGCGTGTTTTCCGCGCGCGGTTCGGGGCCCCGTGGGAACCGCGGCTACGTGAGAAAACCGATGCGCGACTGAGCCGGTCGGTCGGCTATGCTCATCGCCTGCGGAAGTGTGCGGGAAAAAAGGATGGAAAGCCGGCCGAACGCTTCCGGCTTTAATGAGTCCGCCGCGGAGACTTCCTGGATCGAAGGCACTTTGTTTTTGGTGTATCAGCTTCGATTTGAAAATTTATTCCTTCGATTTTCCACAAAGTGGAGAGTGTTCTGTTCGAATTGGATGATTGATTTGAGATTGCTGATGGAGGAATTAATGAATTTGAGTTTTTGGAGTATCGACTGTGGTTTGAGAGGGATTTGTGTTACTTGGAAGGGGTAACTTTGTGGTTATGGGCTGATGGTGATGGTGCGGTTGCTGGTAACGCAGGTTGTACCTTCCGTTGGACAGTAAGGCAGTGCTGTGTCAGCTGATGGTTAGTCGCAGGTTTCTTCTTTATCTTGTAGAGGTATTGGTGAGATACTAGAGGTTTTATGGGATTCGATGAAATACTGATAGTGTAGAGATACTTAGGGGTTCTCTGCTATTAACCCTTTGCACTCGAGTGACTCTCAGGCGATTTGATGAAGTAAATTATAAAATTTGATATTTAACTCTTTGTACTCCATAGTACTCCTATATTATAAATAATGCTATCCAACTTCGTGCCATTCAGCTAGACGAACCTGCAATAATAGAATCTAAATCAATCATTTCGCTCTATGAAACCATGCGGCATTCGTTTTAAAGAATTGTAGTGTAATAGAAGTTTCTTTAGGAGTACAAGGTACAAGTAGCGAATTTTTATAGAGTTAAATAGTAAAATAGTACAGTAGTAGAATGAAACGTTTCGTTTCGATTTTCTGGAATTCACTGAAACTTCATCTCGCTTGATCTTGAAAACAATCCGACAAAGATCTACCGAATCTTCACTCATCATTCCCCACATAGCTTTATTACTAATCCATCGACAAATCCTCAATCGCAGAGGTTCATCACATTAGGCCTGCAGATCGGTTCAACCACGGTGACAGGTTCAGCGCACGGCGCGCAGTTTCCGTCGATGGCCGCGCAGGGTGGACCAGGCGGCGGTTGGTAGCAATTGGGCAGGCAGCAGGGGTCGCAGGGAGGATCGCAGGAGCAGGTTCCAGGCGCGCAGGGGACCTTGACCTCGCAGGGGACCGGACAGGGCGGACAGGGCGGTCGGAGTTGCAGGCAGACGGGCTTGCAGTCGGTCTCGCAGACGTACTGCATCTCGAACGGCAGGTCGTTCCTGACGGTCAGACATTTCCCCTGGATCAGGTAGCAGTAGGACAGCGCCAGCACCGGGTTGCCGCTGTAGGGCAGGTGGTGCGGCCTCGGCAGGTGCCCGAAGATGTCGACGTGCGTGTACTTGAGGGGCGAGCAGCTACAGGCGCCGTGCTGCAATCGATACGCGCCGGAGTGAGAAGCCAAGGGGACGCCAGGGGCAGGACGGCGAGGATAAACGAGGCTTTAAACGTCATTGTAATGGAAAAGCTTTTTAATCCGCCATTAACGCCTCCTCGCGGTGCTCGCGCTAAGCTCGTCGCTCGTAAAAAATTCATCGACCAGGAAAATGCGTGAACAGATGGAACCGGGGCCTGGCCACTTAGATCGCGAGCGGAGATCGCGTGACCGGATGGAATTGAAGGGTATATTTGAACCGGGAGATGGGAACCTGGTCGTTGGAATAATTGGGGCTGCTTGTATTCAATTTTGCCAGAGGCGGATTATTGTAATGTCGGATTAGCAGCGGGAGATCGGGGATTCGTTTGGATCTGGTTCGCTATCTGGGGGAAAGGGTTGTCCTCGCGTCATTTGGAAGTTAGATCGGCGGTCTTTAGGGCGGAGGATCGAGAGTTCTATTCGGATAAGGATTTCGCTGTTTTAAGAGTACCTGATTGTGTAGTAACCTGTTAGTTGATTTATTTGATTAATAGAAATGATTTCTCGAATACCTAGAGACACGTTCAGAAATGAATAATTCCCTATGCTCAATCTGTTAATCTAATGAACCTTATATATATGATAAATAATTAATATAATAACTCTTTCCAGACCTCCACTAAGATTGAAATGATTTCTCAAACACCTAACACATTTAGAAATCAATAATTCCCTATGCTCAATCTACTAATCTAATAAATCTTATATATATGAAATGATTTCTCAAATACCTAAAGACACATTCAGAAATTAATAATTCCCTATGCTCAATCAATTAATCTAATAAATCTTATATATATGAAATGATTTCTCGAATAGCTAAAGACTAATAGATTAATAAATATCTAATAAACCTTATATATATGAAATGATTTCTCAAATACCTAAAGACACATTCAGAATAATTCCCTATGCTCAATCTCAGAGATCTGGAAAGAGTTAGAAGAGGCCGCAGGTCTTCCTAGGGCTAATCATGAAAGACAATGGCCATTGTAGGTACAAGAGAACCAGATCTTGGTTCCAGGATGCTCCAGCTATATAAAGGAATCGTTCAGTCGGTGCCAGGACCCGAGCACCTGTTGGTGGAATGGGAAAACGGCCAAAATTCCCTGCCGCGTCTAAGACGCGGCGTTTCAATGAAGATCCTCGGTCTCGCCAGAGGCTAGCCACGGGTGCACGTGAACCGAGACGCGATTCTTTCGACGAAATTAATAATTAAGCCGGTCGGTTGAACCTGTGCTTACCTTGTCGAGACCGGACGCCATGATGAGAAAAGCGGACGGCCCTTGGTGTCCCCTCGCGGTGATCGCGGTGTCTTTGTTGGCCGATTGCAGAACGTCGTCACCTTCTGTTAGACCCTCGTGGAAATTGAAGTCCTCCCTGCGTATCCTCGATATCTCGAACGGGTCGCCCATCGTCTCGCCGGACGCCTGAAGCTTCTCCGCGTTACTGACGAGACGCGCCACTGCGTTGTCCATGGCGATCTGCAAGAAAAGAGGAAGCACGCTTGACAATAGCGACGTGGATTAATTTAGGTAGTCTTCCGATTGCTTAGAGAAAATTCATTACGCTGGAATTAGTTACTAGCAACGTCTTTCGTTGTTTCTCGACGTTATTTTATCTGGAACGCCTTAGACATTATTACTAGAACTACCAGATGCGTCGAAACTCATTCCTGATTTCTGTGATAATCACTGAGAAGGTGATACTACGAATAATTTGCAAACTAATTCAGTAACAGCAAAACTGAAGTACCAATTGAAGTCTTAATGAACGCAAGCTTATGGTTTCTATAGAGGAATTGGTAAAAGTTCGATCGGTAGTTCTAGTGTTAATCTCAGTTAGCAAAGTTTCTTTAAATGTTGAATTAAGATGCGAAATTAGATACTCATCATTCAAAGATAATAGGAAATTGGGAATTATAATGGTGGATTATTAGAAGAATTGAGATGAAAGATATCGATTATGGTTTCTACAGAGAAATTGGTAAAAGTTTGATCGGTAGTTCTAGTGTTAATCTCAGAAAAGTTTCATATCGATCTATGTTAATTAAGATGAAAATTAAGATACGTGACACGGAACGTGTTAATCAGTAGGGAGATTAATTACTCACCGAGTATCCTCGGCCGACGGTCAACATCGCGTGGTCGGTGAGCGTCGCGACGGTGAAGATGTGGGGATTAACAGAGCAAAGGGCCATTTCTTTGATGTGACAGAGGGCATCGGCCATTGCCATCCGACCCTCGGCGTCCGTATTCCCGACACGTACCCTAACCCCGGATTTCGCGGTGATCACCTCGTCGGAAACGTAAGAATTCTCGCCGATGCTGTTCCTCACCACACATAAAGCCGCCACGGCTTTCACCGTGGGCGGCTGCAGTAAATTCACCACCTGCGGACATGTGATCGTTTTCACTAATTATTGTGTAATATATGTGGCACTAATGGTATTTAAAATATGTTTTATTTTTAAGAAAACAGGAATAGATTATTGAATAAAATACGAATAGATAGAGACGATATAGCAGTGTACAGGCCTTTTCTCTTCTCGGGTCAACGCAACTCTCTAAAAACTCTCGCCATCATTTAAAAATCATTTTTTCCTCCACAAGCATTCTTCTTACTCACAAAATATAATAATATATACACACTGTTATCTAGTAATTTATGCTATGATATATTTCCATTCGACATTAGTTATCTGACAAATTATGTGATGTGGCAGTTAACGTGTTAACTGAATACTCAGTTGTGAATGATTTAACTGATCGGACAACAGGAAATCAGTACTCAGTTCCCTTATTCTCTGTGATTTAAGCATTCAGTGTTCAACCCTTAGCTCTCCAGGTTGTTTTGTAATCTATCAGCAACTGAAATTAATTTTTATAGTATTCCTACCGAAAATTATAAATACTATAACATTTCTTCAATCATTTATTTTCCTTAGTACAAAATTTGGATGTGTAGAAAATCGAATAATTTTAGGGTAGTTTCAAGATTCATTAGAATATTTAATATTATAACTAGTAATATTGGAGTCTACAGAGTTCAAAGGGTTAAGACGTTTCTAGAGGTTAGATTATTACTTTGGAAAATTCACTTTAGTGACTACAGGTAGAAAATCTGTGAAGAAAGTCAGATACATGAGGAGAAATGCCTTGATAAACTGAAACACTAACAGAATAAAGTGCACGAAACGGGAATCACTGTATAAATTTTAGTTAAGTTACCGTGACTGTTGATTATGCATCGCGCTGCAGCGAACTCCGCACTGAAGCGAAAGGATAGGAGTGGATGCTACGAACGCGCGTTGCGGAATTTCTCGGTCATAGAAACGCGCGTGTAATCGCGTCGATTAAATCGCCGACTTAATTGTCGTGAAATGAAATGCGCGATCTCCATTTAATCTGTTACACGTAACGTACCAGTAAATTTTGCTGCGTTGTCCTCGCTAACAGAGCTAAAACAGTTCATGATAGAAACCGTCGGATTATGCTATGCGCAACCTTGACGCGACAATCATTGCCGATGCGACGAAATTAACATTCATGTCAGTATCTAATCTAAATTCTGAACAGTCTATCAGAAAATTTCCTAAAAAATCCTAAATCCACAGAAATCAATCCTCGCAAAACTTGTAATTCTTAGATTTGGAATTAATGAGACATTTAAAGACATTAAAGAGACATTTAAATTAATAGCATATTTAACTTATAGTATTGTTAATTGATCACTTTGCCGCACTCTTTATAAAGTTTGCAAGCTTATTTATTGCTAGGAGACATTTACATTAATAGTTTGTTTAACTTGTACTTATAGTGTTGTTAATTGATCACTTAGCCGCACTTTTTATAAAGTTTGCAAGCTTATTTATTACTAGGAGACATTTAAATTAATAGTATGTTTAACTTGTATTTATAGTATCGTTAATAGATCATCTACTCGCATTTTTAATCAAGTTTGCAAGCTGATTTATTGTTAACAATAGTTGTATCGGTGATAGTTGAGAAACGAATGGTAAGGTAAGGGGTTGAATAGCACCTGCATGAATCCGGCACACGCGGCCGCCCCACATTTGTCCCTCGACATGCCGAACATTGCGCCCTGGATCCTGAGGTCGGCGCCGCCGGTGTCGTAAGTGACACCCTTTCCCACGAGCATCACCGTTTCCAGGACGCAGGACGGATTAGGAGGCTCGTAGGTCAGGAAGATAATCCTGCCGGCGTGCCGCGGGATCATCGACGCCGCTCGGTTCACGCAGGCGAACAGAGGGTACTCCTGCAGCAGCGTGTCCTGCTCGGACACCACCTGCATCGTCACGTTCGAGCCGCAGAACAACTCCGCCAGGTACTCTTCTACTCGCGGCGGCGCCATTCTTTCTGGATCAGCTCCACCTGCGCGTGCAGCACGAGGAAAATCATCGGTAAGTAGATCGTCGATCTCTAGATTCATCGAACCTCCTATTGAGTTTAAATATTTCTAGCTAAACTTCTCTAACAAGACTCTATTGCATTAATGAACTGTGAAACGTTGAAACTCAAATTCTCATGAGAGTAAGTTACACGAATATTCAGTATTTTAAATTAAAATTATATTTTGCAATGTGAAACATTTGAATAAAATAGCCTATTGATTTGAAATTGACGCATATTGGATTTTACGCTGATTTTGATTGATACGATCACACTGACACGTACCCCAATTACCTACAATCAAATCTCCAGTTTCCACAATCTGAATAAACGAGCATCGATTCTTTTGGGAATAATATGAAGTGTACAATAAATGCCCGTAAACCTATTGTTAACAATGTATTCAATAGTTTGAATAATTTTATTAAATTACTATATTTTATTCACCATATTTGAATTGATTACTTAATTTTATTCACCACTTTGCCGTGAAAAATGAAGTAAATTAACAGGATGCCAATATATTCATATGCGACTTCAAAGTTACATGGGCCTGCAAAGGGTTAATACGACGCTCTATTTATTTATTCAAGAATATTTGGTAGTCATCGAAACGTTACCTTGAACGAAGAATGAAGTGTACAATAAATGCCCGTAAACCTAGTGTTAAGAACAGCCCGCCGGAATTCCCGCGGAATATTACACCCCAGTATTTTGCTAATGGCGGAGGGAAAGTGGATCGACGTCTCGGCGCCGAAACGCGTGTACACAAGTTTCCCCCGTTTAATTAAACGCCCGAGATTCTCGAGGAGCCGCGGAACCGGGGCGACCTGAAATTTACATTCCGCGGCCGACGCGAAGAAATGCCCGACGCGGAAAAAACCGCGCGAATTCGGCCGAGCTCAGGATCGTCCGAATTATGCGAAACACGGAATACCGCGACCGAGCCGGAGCTATGCGGACAATCTGTTTAAACTGTACGTTTGAAAAGTGGAGCGGTCACGCCGAATCCTCGCGACAAGTTCCCTGGATTCCTAATTACCTGTTCGTTAGCCGAGAATCGAATACGTACAGGGGATGATCGGCTGCCGCAGAATCGCGCGCGGAATCTGAATCGAGAAATTTCCGAGAATTGTTGCTCCTGGTTCGATTTGTAAGAAAATATGCAACGTGCGTATTATAAGGATGTTTGAGTGTGTGTGTGTGTTTGTGTGTTCTGCGTTGTTTTTGAACGAACGACGAAAAAAGGTGCAAGTTGATGAGCGTTTGTATCGAACTTCGTGCTGACGACGAAATAAATTATTATTGACGAAATAAATCCTTAGAGATTTATGATAATAATGAACGATAATTATTAGATATTCTGGAAACTAGGGATTTTTAAGTATTCATAGGAAATTTGAATGTAATTTGAGATGTACGAATGCGAAGATTTTTTAGAGTATTCTGAAAAGTTAATACGTTGTTAATACGTTGCATCGTGATCGAAACACGGACATCGATTAAACGAAAGCATTGTTGCACTCCGAATATTATTTAACGATTCCGGGCGAGAAAATTCGCGTGCGCGCGACGTGAGCGTATAAACATCCGCGGACTAATTATAACTAATTCCAATGGCATCGGGCCGCCGCAGGACAGCAATTTAGTGACAGAGAGATTTATAACCGATAATTACTGGGTTATTCTCGGCGAGTGTTGGATTTAGTTTGGCTCTCGCGACCATCCCGCCTTCCCTGGGACGGAATGGTTTTGCGGTTGTTTAATTCTATTACCATTATAGAGAATCCGCCCCGTCTCCAACGGTGAATATGCTGATTGCGCGGCGCACTGTAATTTCGCGTCTGTGTTCCCGAAAAGTCATGCAGCTTCGTTATCCTTTAATCCAATTCCGAATAACCGTCACGAGCAGTTTAGCAGCGCGAACATCCGTGCGTTTTAAATCCCGAAGATCGCGGAAATTTGATTTTTAATTAATACTCTCCATCGCTGGCAGCTTCGATCTTGCAAAAACCCTTTTCGCGAATGGAACGATAAATGGGAACCTATCAGTTTCAGGATTCAGTACTATAGTGATTACTGTATTATAGATAATGAAAAGGTGGGTCTTGGGTAATCGAGAACTAGGAATAAATATATGTATTTAATAAAATAAAGAAGTCTCTTCTTAAAAATGCCTTAACCTACGTTAAAAATTTCAGATACTACACTAGTTTTTACAGAGAAATTTCAGAAAGACAATTCGACTGCTCGGTAGTTCTAATGTTAATGTAATCTTGAAGATTTATTTCCTTGGTAACGTATCGAACGAAGTTTCATTAGATGTATGAGATATAAGGAAGATAGCAGTGGAAACGAAGACTAAAGGGATTACTCTAGACTTCATCTGTAAATAAAGTTTAATTCCTCTTTTACAGAACAGTGAACGAGAATTAAAATTAGAGCCGAGGGAAGTGTCAAGGGAAAAAGAATCGCAGGAAGAAAGCTTCTCGAAACTGTATATACACTTACATTAGCAGCCATTCAGTCGTTCTTGTGCTATTAAACGTATGAAAGTCCTGTCCTTCGCTCACACTCATTCTTACATTCACTCTTCCTAAAAATACCTTAACCTACGCTAAAAATTCTAGATACTACATTATTATTTGGCAAGAAGAATTTCGGAACCGGAGTAAGGACTTACCGATGTCCCTCGCGACGTATCTTCCGCTTTCGAGTGCCGAGGCCAGCTTCACGATGCCCTGAAGCTTCTTGCTGCAAATCGGACTCCAGACGGCCAGCTGGCACGCCTTGTAGCACCGGTCCGGGCATATTTCTCGCACCTCCAGGGGCTGGACACATCGTACAGACAGATTGAAGCCCGCGGAAACACTGAATGACACTTAAGGGTACTCGGGAATTCTGGGATAGGATCTACTTGTGTAGAGAACGGGGGTGTCTAACCTTTTAGCTTCTCCGGGACTCATTGGAGGAAGGGTTGTTATGGGGTGAATATAAATTAATGGCGTGTTTAATTTGTATTCGTAGTTTTAGTGGGCCTATTAACCCTTTGCACTCCAGAAGTCTTTCACCAGAAATATTCAATATTTTCTAATGAGATACAGATGACATTTTCTTAGAATTAAGAAAACTCACATGCATTCGGGAAGAGAACTATTTTCTTTCAGTACTTCGTACATTGTGATGGCAATTTTCACTGAGGTCAACTTAGATATCATATTGTTATCTAATATATTTTAAATAGATAATCAATTCGAATGAAATTTTATATTTTCTGAATACTGTCGTAATTAGCGAAGTTGCATAGCTAAGTGTCTATATAAAAATTGTTATGTTGTTTTCAATATTATTAATAAGAATCGTTGATTGCTCTCTACAAGCTAACTATTGTTTAAAATTCATTTCAAATAAGACATCGTAACAATACAGAGTTATCGAGGATAAATTCCAAAGAAATTCGGAGTGCAAAGGGTTAAGGGGTCATGAAGTTTTCAAGCTGATTTACTGTTAGGAGGCATTTAAATTAATAGTACGTTTAACTCGTACTTATAGTATCGTTGATTGATCATCTACTCGCATTTTAATCAAACTTGTAAGCTCATGATTTTATTAGGTCACATTCACAGCTGTCTTGTCGTAGGTCGCACTTGTGTTAGAAGGGTTGAAGTAGTGTATGAAACAGAAGACGTCGATTGGAACACGATCGTTTCGATCGAGGATGAACGGGAAATTCATTAGTCGGTTTTGGATCAACTGATTACACTCGCGTGATGGGACACGGGACTTTAATGTATTGATTAAATGGATTAATATAATATTAATAGCCTGTCGTATTAATACGATATCAGTGGAACTGGCTTCCGGTTCTTGTAGCATATAAATTTAATTAATCGAGAGTTCGCAGGTGTTTTTCAGAGGATCGACGAGACTTGATCTTTCACTTGGAAATATTGCAACACTTCTGTGCTTGTAATTTGAAAGTCGGTGGTATTAAAATTGAAAATGTTGATGTATAAGGAACACGGGTTAGAGTTGAGAGGTTAATGTAACTGATTTGAAAAATTGTGCCTGTCATTCCTGAAACAGCCTGTACACGCTATTAAATAATTAGAGCACCGATCGATGCAGATTTCCTCCGCCTCTATGGGCTGGCTAGATAAAAGAGAGAGATTGTAGACTACATTGCTTATTAATAACGAAAATAGTTGCCGCTAATTACGGGGCAGTGCATAATGTTTATCCCAAACTACGGAATACAATTTCGCAGCGTTGATAGAATATCTCTCGTCGGGATAAAATCGTCATCCAATGAAGGATCAGTTAAGAATTCATTGGAAGGCGCCTCGTACAACTGGAAACTGGAATAGAAAAATCGATTCAGCGAAAGCTGCGACAGGTTAAAAGTGAACAAGCGTCGCGGGGCTCAGCCGCACAGCGCGCCTGTACAAAGCCCCAAAAATCGACTGTTCGCAAAATCAAAATTGAATTGAGGCTACCAAAGCGTTGCTGCATAGTCCCCGCTGCGCAAAATGATTTTCATCTGGAAAATAAATATTCTGTCATTCGAGAAATCGACTGACATTTGCAATTCATTTCAAAAATAACAATTTGTCTAAGTTGTACATTTAGAAGAGCCCAGAATGCATTTTTCCTTAATAATTTTGTAAGTAATTCTTTGTAATTTTTCATATTTTATGTATCTTCTCTTTTTTCATCGTCAAGCATTATGGATGATTTTTCTATTCTAAAAACATTACCGTTAATTTGTTTTTACATTTAACTAATTAAGATTCATTAAAATATTTGATATTATAACCCGTGCAATATTCGAGCCTACAGAGTTCAAAGGGTCATCTATTTATTACGATTTCAATTGGCTTATATTACAATATAAGTATTACTAAATTCAATTCTTCAACGATTCCCCATAGAAACATCTGTGCATTTTCCATAATTGTAACAGGAAATCAGGGTGAATATTAGAAAATTGAAGTCTCTACGTAGCTACAGGTTGTTTCATTCATCCTTCGTTAATACTGCTTTGTAGTGGTGTCTGGTAGTTCAGTGAATTGGGGTGAAGTAGAATAGGCAAGTCATGGTCAGACGAAGCTGTTCACGCGAAGACCATGTTTCCTCGCTGCCTTAAAGTTTAACTTCCATTAGTACTGCATGATCATTTATATAGCTCCGCAGTAGTATTCTCCTATAAGTAGTATAGGTCAGTGCACGATCAGACCATCGATCACTAATATTTCGTTTCTATAGTACTCCTTAACCCCTTAACAGCAACTTGAAAGAGACATCGTAAAGACTAGCATAACATAAAACTGCAAATACATAGAAATGCAATGCCCATAATTTATGCAAGATGTTCCTTTACGCAAGTTGCAAATAATATTAACATTTCGTCAGAAAGTAACGAACAGGTGCCTCAATTCAGTTATAATCACGAACATTCGCATTCGAATATATTAACCGCTGAAATAACTAACATCAATGACCAAACTCAAGAATGATTAACAACCGCGAGTCCATAGTGAAGTAACGAATGAAACCGAGAATTCTCTCATTCGGATAAATCAGATGAAATTTCGCTCGGCTCCATTTCGCGTCTCGCGCGTCTTTTCATCGGATCGCTCGAATAAAATATCCGAGCGTATCGGTGAGTAAGTTCCACGGCCGGCCGGATGAAAGCGTCGGCGAGAGGGGCGAGCGGCGTCGAGTCGGAGGGAAACGGGGTGAAATATTAAGGGAATTAATTCGAGCGCCGGATTTCGAATGAAACATACATCATCCGCGGAAGTCCGACCGGTCTCTTATGAGCCGGTGATCCAGTAAGAGGATTATCCGCTTTAATATTTTCTGTACGGCGGAACAAAGCCGCTAAGAAGCTGCGTCGGAAACTCGACCAGCCCCGGGACAGCGGCCTGGTCGAGCGATACGTACGAAAACCGGCGCGGAAACTCGGGTCACCGAGGCTTGTGAAATATTCCTGCGGAGAGTGTCTTCTTCTTCGTCCGGCGTGTCATCGGTGCGACTAGTTTTCTGGACGAAACTCAATCACTTAACCCTTTGCACTCGATAGGTGACTCTCAGTCAGTACTTGATTTAATACAAAACTATGAAATTGAATATTTAGTATTTTGAATGAAATTTTGTATTGCTATGTGAAATATTTAAATAGAATAGCTTCGCTGCTTAATTTATCTGTGAACCATCGTCGAATTAGTTTCAAATATCGTCTATATCTCGTTGGAAAATGTTGGAAATTTCTAATGAAAAACTCTGGAGTGCAATGGGTTAATAATTATCTTCAATATCATTTGCCTTTGTTATTAAAGAACAAATATTACTATTCAAAACACTAGAAATTCTTATGGCAGTGAACGTGTTAACAACAATAGTGGAACGTTTAGAACAGTCACAACAAAAAACATGATTTTAAATAAAAATATTTAGAAGAAAACGTTAGAAATTCTCGTGGCAGTGAACGTGTTAACAACAACAATGGCGGAACGTTTACCGTGGACAACCGGAAACAACCGAGGAGTATCGAGCTCCTCGTGAAAGCAATATCTCCGTGGATATATTGCCGACGTAGTCGAAAAGTCCGTCCCATTGGACGAGCATTTAACGAAACCGCGGTGAATCCGCGTCTTGCTCAATAATAACGCAACCGGGGAGGATCTCATTCAGCGGAGGCTCGTTCCTCGGACAGAAACGGAGACGGAACAGAAAGGAGGAAGAATGGAACGGGGGGGAGAGGGGAAAGCGTCGCGGTAATCTCCGCAAGAATCACTCGCAGCAGCTTCCTCCGCCTTCTATTGTCAGCGGCGGTTAGTAGATTCTTGTCGATTTGCTCCGAACAACGATTTTCCGAAATTTCACCGGGATCTTGCAAGTTTTTCCGTGTCCGGACGTCGGGCCGTTTTCGATAGAAATGTAATCGCGGCTGCGACGTCCGTTCGCGATAAAACAATAGCTGTGATTTGCTGCTGGGATAGAAGTTTCTAACGGTTTATCTGTATTTTGGGAGAATATCATTTTATGTAGAATGGAATTTTAGCTTTGATGTGTTTGAAAGTATTTGAGTATGTTTTAAATAGGAGAGGTGTTAATTTTATTGGGACTGCGCGAGTAATTGTGTTACGTGAATTTTGAAGATTATGGTTGATCCTTTGCACGCGGAAGCATTTCGTTGGAAATACTTAACGTTTTCTAAGTAGATAACTAGAGAACTAGAGCCCTAGGCAACTAGAGAACTAAAGAACTAGACAACTAGACAGCTAGAGAACTGGAGCCCTAGGCAACTAGAGAACTAAAGAACTAGACAACTAGACAGCTAGAGAACTAGACAGCTAGAGAACTAGAGAATTAGGCAACTAGACAACTAGACAACTAGACAACTAGACAACTAGACAACCAGACAACTAGACAACCAGAGAAATCAAAAGCAAATTGAGAAACAAAGCTTTTTCATCCCAATATTTCACACACCGACGCATTATACACGTGTCAATATTAAATATCAAATTTTATAATTTTCTTGCCGTTTGTATGAAGAATTTTCTGCCTACTTCGAGAAGGAACTTCCAGGTTTCCCAGCGAGCTCTGTAGACCACCAAGGCTCTTAAAAGACTGCCTTGCACGGCGATGACGAGACGACGGTGGAACGCGTACAGCCAGGATCCTAGAGTGGCCCTTGTAGGACTACCCACAACTCTAGAATGAGTCTTAATGGACCACTTAGGGTGCTAAATTTCAACTGCGAGAATTAGGACTCGACGAGGACCACGGTAACCCTTCGAGGACCACCTGAGATACTAAGAAC